AACAGCTAAATTTTAATATACTACAAATATCAAATACAAAGAGGTATTAAAGGATCATAGTTCAGCTATAGATGCTTCATGCTTTTCTCATGTTATTGTTTGATCCAACATGTTGCACTCTTTTATGTGCTGTTATATCGTAGTATCCTGAACACATAAAATCTCTTAATTGGTTATCAATGAAATTACGTATCAGGCAACTGATGATGTTGCAGGGGTTCCTTTTGTGTTTTTAGATTTCACAATTTAACATACAGGATGTAAAACCTTTTGTAAAGCTTGAGAATGAACTGTAAGATTAGTAGTAGACTTCTTAGCAGGAATAACCTTTGCAGCTCGTTATGCAACTGCAGCAGGTCTAGGAGGATTGTACTTTAAATGTAGGGGCTCACGCACACAGCTTATAAGTTCTCAGGTATACACTGATGCCTTTGTGCCCAGCAGACAGAGTCCAAATAAAGACTCTACTCATGTGTGTCCTTGGATCCAGAAAATCTACTCAACTTTGCACTCCGATCAGATGGTGGCAGGAAAGAAGTGGTCGAGATGCAGAGCTGGATATTAAGCCAAGTGAAGGATGGAGGATATCCTGCTGACCTCTGCTTCCTGTGACCTCTGTCACACACACGCCATCACCCTGAAAGATTAACCCCCTCACCTTCCACAACAGGATGGAGGTTTGGAACCCCGTCACATCCCCTGGTCTAGGACAGTCTAAGGCCATGATTTGTGGTATAAACACACAGAGGAAGATGGATGTGCAACTCCCAAGCATCAGCGGAAAGAAAATCACCTCAGAATCAGCATAATATCCCCCACAAAAGGGAGCTGAAATCCCTTAATCAAAGCTGTTCTGTGGTGACATTCGCTGCGTCTTCTCTTCTTCAACTTAACAAGACCACGAGTCCACAGCTATCGCTAGCGGATCTGATAAGCTGTACTGTACAGACAGTGGTATTTTGAGCAAATTACTAACGTCAGCATGTTAGGTAAAACTCATAGTTAGCATGCTAAGAAGTGCTAATTAGCACTAAAAACAAAGTACAGAGGAGGCTGACGGGAATGTCATTCACTTTGCAGTACTATTTGGTCATAAACTAAAGTATTAGGCATAATGAAATATTGACCTGATTATGGTGCTAGAGTCAATCCATCTGGCGGTGGATGTTAAAATTTCACAATTTCCTCCCTACCTCGGAGGTATGGAACGTCATTCCACTTGATTACATTATGAAGGGACGGATTTTGGGGATAAATGGGGGGTTTTACGGATGTGATAGGGTGGCTTGTGTGTGTTGTGGTTGGATGGGGGTTCAGCAGAGGGTTGATCTCCCTCTGGGCATTGCCGTGGACACTGGAGCATATGAAGTGGTATGATTGCTCAATCAGGTCACGTGAAGTCGGTCAGGAGTACCACAGACGCTTCCCATGACGGTCGGGCCTAATCTGCCAGACGTGCGTCCCCCCGGGGTTATGCACCCTCAGAGTCAGACAGCCCGAAAACCACACACATGTTCACTTCAAGCCACAGACTTTGAGGCCGTTTTGCGGTTTGGCCATGAAAGAGTCCAGTGTGGTTTTAATACACTAGCAAGTTTTAATGACCGAACAAAACAGACATTTAGTTGATTTTAAAGCTGTGTGCTCACATTCCCTTTCATCACAGAGGATATCTGGGCCACAGCAAGAGGTTTTGCTTATGACTCATAAACACATTAGCATGACATTTATGTGGAATAGAGCGTACTGAGTGTGTTTGTGTGCCAGAGAGACAGACTCAAGAAGATAATTGCTTTTAATGGAACTTGAATCTGACTTTCATTGAGGATCGCGCTGCCTGACCAGCTCCAGCACTGACACAAATGGACAGTAACACTGTATTTGTCTAACCATATTCCCAAAGCTATCGCCAACATTATACATATGACCTATTTTCCACTTGTAGCGCAGAGAATATTCAAATCAGGACTTGCTCTGTGTTATAACTACTTTGCATCAATCCACCTAGTATGCAAAATCTCTTAACTATTTGAACTAAAGTGTGAATGACTCTTCCTGGGCCCCAAACTGGAGGGGCTTCACCCAGACTTCCCCTTCCTAAACACTCCCAGTTTCCCTGTTTTCTTGTTCTTAGTCACCACCAGATTGGAACTTAACAAGAAATAAAACAAGCAAACAAACTCTTTGTGGACTTTTTCCTTTGTTTTCCCCCACACCTCTCCAGGAATTAAGATTCCTTTAAAACACACAGTTAGGTCTTCATGTACCCAAACATCCAGCCATTCCTGTATAGCTGATTTTCCCACTTGCCCCCCACCTTAGGGACGTTTATCCAGGTGTAACTTTAGGTTCTCGCCGCAGGTCTCCAGTTTCTCCAGTTTCTCCAGTATTTCTTGTCATCCAGGATCAAACTGGATCGTGCCAGATCGAGAGGGTTCATTGGATTGTGTAATCCTTTGGCCCTGCTAAAGTGAACTGACTCATTTAAGCCTCTCTGCTTGTGCCCTGTTACCTTTTCTTTATTGGAAGACGGTGAAGCATTTCGCCATCTTAATTTCAGTTTGTATTTGGTATCAGTATATTAACCGATAAAAGCTAAACTGATTTTGTACATTGCAAGTGACAGTTTTACAAATGTTTGCAGAAGCAGCTATCAGTCAAACCAAGCCAACCTGATTATTAATTAGAAAATCATTTGCTTTTTCTTCTACTTATAACAAATACATTGTCAAGTTATAGCCTTAAACTTGCAGCTATAAGAACTAGTGTCAGGAGATCTATTTGTGTTATGTCTGGAGAATGTCACTTTGTTTAGGACTGAGAATGAAACATTTGTCCAAAAGAGACACCTATGAATAAACAAATGACTGAATACATTAAAACATCTGTTCATGCTTGACCATTGGAGTAATGCACACAGGAAGTGAGACCCCCTCCTTCTCTGCGGAGGCAGGAATGCTATAATTGAAACCGTGTGTTGTAGAAACAAGCTCTGCAAAGCTTTCTCTCTCTCTTTCTGTGAGTGTGTGTGTTAACTTCATCCCACTATGCCCTAACCTGATTGTTCTCCCTGCTTATGTAAGAGTCTCGTCCACAAGTCCTCCTTATCTAATTTGGAATCAGTCTATATTCTGGATTACTACAAAGTGTTTTGATGTGTAGCTCATTTGCCAGATCCTTTTGGGACATGTGTTAGATTCAGCTCTTGCACACAGCATTCTCCACAAATGTTTCTATCCTTCCTTGAATATGTGCTGCCTGTACTGTCCCTAGGCCTGCTGACCACAACTCATTGCACCAATGAAACAATGAGAGACACGAGAGAAAACCTGGAGGGGCCAGCCTCAGTGTCCACCAGCTAATTGTATTTTACAGCAAAAAACTAAAAAATAGACTTGTGTGTGTGGAATTGTATTCATAAACATCTGAAAGTAGTTGATGTTGGTATTCAGTTCTGGAGGAATTATTCAGAACATTTACACAAGTACAAATACTAATACCATGCTGTAAAGCTACTCTGTTATAAGCAAAAGTCCTGCATTGAATATGTTGGGCAAAACTATGTAAATATTATATCAGGAAACTGTAAGTATTAAAACTAAAAGTACTCAATGTTGAAAAATGTTCCCCGACTGTTATATTATTATTATATCATTAGATTATTATTAATTATGTATTGATGTGAAATCAGGCAGTGCGGTGGTGCAGTGGTTAGCACTGTCACCTCACCGCAAGAGGGTCGTGGGTTCAAACCCTGGCCTTTCTGTGTGGAGTTTGCATGTTGTCCGCGTGGGTTCTCTCCAGTTGCTCTGGCTTCCTCCCACCCTCCAAAGACATGCAGGCTAGGTTTATTGGTGTCTCCCAAATTGTCCTTAGGTGTGAGTGGTTGAGGTGTATTTTTAAGTGTTTTGTTCGGGACTGCAACTAATTATTATTTTCATCATCAATCTGATGATCATTTTGTCATGAAATTGATTGTTTTGTTTATAAAGTTAAATACAATTTGTTTTGAAAAACCTTGAAATGTTTTTGCATGAAAAATATCAAAATCCTTTAATAGTCATTCGACTGGTTGATTATGTGACTAATTGTTTCAGCTGTACGCATACTGTTCTAAATTTACAATACATTTATGACATGATGACATGATGACATGATGTTTTATAAACTTGTAATATATTTTGTATGTAAATCCTAATCCTAATCCTATTTTTTTAATCACTAGTAGACCTAACTAAAGGTATCAAATAATTGTAGTAAAAAGTAAAAAGTACAACATCAACAAGTCTCAAGTAAAGTACAAGTACCTTAAATTTGTACTTAAGTAAAGTACTTGAATAAATGTTTGTGGTGCTGTCGTATTGTATAACATTATACAGAAAGGTGTTTATATGATTTAGAGCAGTGGCTGGGGAAGCCTTATGTATAAATAAGTGTCTATGTGGGGTTCCTTGTCACATTTCATTCTATTAGGCCAACATTTCATTATCTGACACACAATGTGCCAAGTGGTTAGAGATAAATCCAAAGTCGTCCACACATTAGAAAGCAACCAAATTATGACAGAAACACTAAAACAATCGCCACCAGTAGAAGAATTCTTTAAATCTTTTCCAGTAGCTAGGCTAAATTATTTTGCTATGAATTCTTAAGAGTTATAGCCAAATGCCACAGCACAATTAAACTATGGCGGATAATCAATAAAAACATTTATATTTCGCTGGGTATAATCTCACTAATGACTCGAGTCACGTGAGCGTTGATCAGTGAGTAGTGACGCGCAGCACTGGCCGTGTAGCGGGGCTCTGATGGGATTATCAACTATCAATTTAGACAGCTAGTGTAACAAGCACTTCCTGTTTTACTTCCAAAATAAAGACAACTGCTTGTGTCACACATTTGAGTATTTTATTTTGAAGACAAAATGACATGCACTTCCGCAACTGTTCCAGATGTGCGTTAGCCAACTTGACCCCAGCCGTATCAGCTACTCTCCCGATACTAGTGGAGTGAAGGCGTCTTTGCAAGGGATAACGACAACACGCTCGACCAAAGGACGCCGCTGCTGCTGCAGAAACACACGGCTCACGCTAACTGACTGACTCACGTGAAGCCGGAGGGGCTGCCTCGCGACTGTGTTGCGTAAATGGCCACAACATTTCCTAAAAAGAACACGCTGCCCGTGAGGCGACAACCTGTGCACCAAATGCGTCCCTGAGATCAAGACGCGTTTTGATGTGAATTAGACCCTTTTTCGTACAACGGAAGTTTCTGCGACCGAATTTTTTTTTTTTTTTTTGGGGGGGGGGGCTTGATTTATAGGCTGCAAACATGGACGAGGACAACCAAGGTATGATTCATTCAATGCAATTCAGATCGCTGACCTGTGTGGCTATTTGTCCAGGAGACATATGCCTCTTTAGCCTGACACTGTTTCTCAATTTCATAATAACAATATTATGGACAGTGAGTTCGGCCTATGCTGGACTGGACATGGAGTTAGTTCTATGCCAGGCACATGCAGCAACACCGATCTGTCATCTTTCCTACATCAGCATTTTCTGGTAGAGCTCACTGACGTGAAGTTGCCTCCTAAATGAGCATAAATAAGGTTTTATGTCTCGTGTGCCAGATGTGTTAAGGTAGAAGTATTGACCTACATTCCGGTGGATAGAGCGTAAATGGATCAGCATGATAATCAGTGTCATTTATTTGTGCGGTTTGTGTTTATCTAAAGGCTTTGTCAGCTGTGGGCTGCTGTCAGTCTGGCCCAACAGGTCCTCTCACTGTCCGCCAAGCCATTGCCACGAGACAGGGATTCATTTGACTCATGATAAAAGCTGAGTTTGTGTTAAGGATGTGCTGGCACAGATGAGTCACTGCAACAGGAACAGGAGGACTATACGATACGTATATCCCACATAGTTCAGCACTATGTGGGTTTAGAAACTTTTGAGGAGGGGGGGGGGGCACATTTATAAAATGAGTGAAGATATGCTCACACTGTGAAAATATGTAAAACCTATGTACAACCCTCCTTCTTGGCAGTAATTAATAGTTGCATGATTTATTTAGTGCAATAAATGGATGTCAAATAAATTAAAAAAAGATAATTCAAGAAGACAAGAAATTTTATAAGTGAATAGCTGCTATTTGCAAAGAGCTTACAGCCATGGACTGATTATGAGACAGCAGCCTGGACACGGATATGTAAAAGGTCACACAGGAGTAACTCACCCGGACTGAATCTTTGTGGTCGTTTTGTCTTTTTTTGGTCATTTTGCATCTCTTTGTGGTCATTTTGTGCCTCTTTGTGTTCGTTTTGCGCCTCTTTGTGTTCGTTTTGCGTCTTTTTGTGGACGCTTTGCCTCTTTGTGTTCATTTTGTGCCTCTTCGTGGTCGTTTCATCAACTTTAGAACAGGAAATTGTTAATGCTACTTCATACAGAGGTTCTGGTCCAGGGACTTAGGACCTGTTGTGCCTGTTTAGTAATAATCCATGATGCCAACAAGGCCCCTGGTTCAGCAAACCCTTCTAACCCTGTAATCATAAACTGCACAAAATCACATACTCACAGTTTATCAAGATTTAAACCTGCAGGTGAACAACCATCACTCTGACCCATGTCATCTCTGTGCGTCAGCGGTATTCAGTCCCACATGCACACCGCTCGCAGAGCTGCAGGTTGTGACTATTGCAATGCTTGGAATGTGGACATAAAGCCGTCATTGTGCTGTGTTTGGCCGGCTTGGCCTCCAGCGGTGGCACATGTCCCCACAGACAGCAGCACAGCCCCACAGACAGACATATGGTGCTGTGATGCCAACCAGGGATAGCTGACAACAGCCGGGAGCATATAAACACACTCACATGTGTTCATGGCTGCACACTGACACTCACACAAATTAAATTTTTCCTTTTTCCCTTATGGCACTGAAGATGGATGGATCATGACCTAAAATGATGTGTGTGTGTGTGTGTGTGTGTGTGTGTGTGTGTGTGTCAGCAGGTGTGAGTGTGTGATCAACACCACAGTCTGCCCTCTCATCTAGAATAAATAATGCCCTAGATGCTGCAGGAAAGGAAGGCTACAGAGCTCTTGTTTGTTTTTTTGTTTTTGTTTTGGTGTTTAGTTTTCTGTTGAACAGTTGGGAACAGTATTCACAATTTGATGCTTTTTATCAGAAACACTTAGCAAGCACACACCCACACATGAGCCCACAGCAGAGTTGGGCGCTTTGGGGGGTAGCAGAGCAAAGTACATGATGAACGATCGTGCTGGTGCGGATTACAGGCATGGATCTACTAAAGGTGGTTGACAAAGTTCAATATCTTGACAGTCAATCCTCACAAAGGCACATGCACGTTGCCAGGCCACAAGTCGAGTGAGGAGAGAAAGCAGAGGACAGAGTAAGATACCAAGGTGTCAGATGGAGAGTAGACAGCCAGAAAGGTGTGAGGATGGAAAGAACGTGTGACCGCAAAGAGTGAAGAGTGAGACACAGTCGTAGTAGCGCTGACGGTGAGATGTCTGAGAGGGAATGAAAGAACAAGACAGGAGGTGTGTGTGTGTGTGTGTGTGTGTGTGGAAGGGATAAGGGTGGCGGGGCGGCGTGCCAGAGCAACATTGTAAAATGGCCAAAAAAAGTATGGATTGCCGACAGTGAGGGAGAGTGGACTAGATATTCTGACTGAATCAATTCTCCAGTGTATTACAGGAGTTTCTTCCAATAAAAAGTCCTTCTGTTCTGTCATAATTAACTCACTGAACAGCGAGCGGTCTCTGGCCATCCGTAACTATCCATCAAACCAGGTCACTCCTTTGATGGGAAGTCAGTTTTCATTTCTTTTCCATCTCACGCTCTGTTTTTTTTTAAGTTTCACCTCCTTGGTGGTTGTAAAAGAGATCGTACACATGATCTTTAAGCCTTGCTGGTGGCATCGCTCTCTGGGTGGCAATGTCGGTCTGTCAGTCCACCACTTTGGTCTAGGCTGGAGTATCTCAACAATGATAGGATGAATTTCCATTAGCCTACATTTTGTGCAGGTATTCATGTTCCACAGGGGATGAAGCCTAATGACTTTGGTGATCCCTGACTTTTTCTCCAGGGCCACCATGAGGCTGACCGTTTGTGGTTTTGAATGAAATGTCCCAAAAACTATTGGTTGGATTGCTATGAAATTTAGTACAGACATATATATCTCTCTCAAAATGAATTGTAATAACTTAGGTGTACCTCAGATGTTTCATCTAGCATCACTATCCAGTACAGCCTCGCCTTGGATCTCACTGTAGGTTTTGTAGAAGAAACCTTTCTTTCTCTTTGCTTTTCTTTCTCCTGTTGGAATCTTTATATTCTATATCTTACTTTCCTGCACCCGCCATAGGCAGTATAGCTCCATAGCAATCGACCCGACACACATGACAGTCAACAAACACTGCTTTGTGCCACAATGGTCGCTCAATGGACAATGGGCCAACAAGAGCCCATAAAGCTTTGCTACAGTGAAACCTGTCTGACTGAGCAGACTCTGAGTATAGCTTACTGTAACACATTCTCATTTCACATGACTGACTTTGACTGTCTATCAAATGTACGCCTACAGTATCCTCTGCTTCAGTGTAATCTTTGTTACTTGGTGAGCACAGTGTTCAATGGAGACTTCATGAAGAGGTGCCCATATGGTATGATTAAGATTATTTATGATAGACACTGGTTCCGCTGCACGCCTTATGGCGGCTTGCGAGTTTACATGCCGCTCTATTTACATAGGTGAAAACCGGCCATTTAAACTGGGCAGTTCAGAGTGTGTGTGAGTGTCAGTGTGTGGTCTGTGGTGTTATGGCACAGTGCAGCCCAACTCGGAAGAGGAGAGACGCACATGACTCGCTGGGCTTCGAGATCTCAGAGACACTCATGTGCCGTCCGCAGGACAGCTTCCTGCAACGTTCAGGACTTGTGTTTTTGTATTTGGAGCTGATTTGCAACTGCTGTCTTTTCCCCACAGCCCACGCGCTGTCAAGTGGTTAAAAGAGAGGAGCGTCCTGAAGTTTTCATGCAGCGTTGGAACAAATTATGCTTTACCACACACCCCTTAGTGGTATCCAGATTGAATATCTTCCTTGCACCGGAGGGACTGTGCAGTAGAAGCTCAAAAATCTAAACATTTCTGTACAAATTACCTCCCAAAAAAAGGTCTGGTGATTTACAGTGGAGCATAGTTCATGTGGCACTGGCAATAATGAGGTTTTAGTACGGGTTACCCAGTGTGGAGTCAGCTGTTGTGTCTAAGCTGTTGTTAATTTCAGGGAGGTTTGGCAGGTAAATTTAGGGCTTCTGTAACAGGTCCAAAGAACAAGTGTATTTTGTTAAATGGTGAAACATTTGGCCACTGTAGGAAATTTGAAAACATGGCCCTCCTGCAACCTGTAAGCAGGAGTGTGCTCTATTTCCCCGAGGGGGAACGCTAACTTGTAACCACAGGACTGGAGACCTGAACCTGTCCCATACCCACATCTGAACCAACTGAACCCTTCTGGTACTGCCAGATTTGAGGCCCAACCCTGACCGATAAATTTTTATTTTATTTTATTTTATCTCGGGGCTGAATCGATTAGTCGACTGACAGAAAATGAATCGGCAACAATTTTGATAAAAAATTAATGGTTTGCTTTTTATCAAGCACAATTGCAAAATGTTTACTCGTTTCAACTTCCTGTGTGAATATTTGCTGCTTCTCTCTGTTTTATGTCATTGGAAATTGAATATCTCTTTTTTGGTTTTGCTCTTCAAAATATTCTCATATAGACGGAAGATGTCAGCTTTTGCTGTGGAAAATTGTGATGGACATTTTTCACTATTTTCTGACATTTGATCATTTCAACTATTTATCGATAAATCAAAAAAATTATTGAAACTTTTATAATTTTATCCAAGACTGGCTGACACATTGGCTACACTTGTCTTTTTGCCTCGTTCCACTTTGCATTGCGTATTCTTGCAACTCAATGGACTGAAGAACGGTCTACTGCTCTTGATGAAGGCAGTTCAGGTTTTATTTTATGGGTTATATCTTTTGTGATCCTTTCGGCACAGCTCAACATCTCTACTGCTGTTCTCTTGGCTTCTAATATATGTGTTTGCATCAGTGGCTAATTACAACAACCATCCATGTCTGACGTCAGTGTCGACCATTCATCCCCTTGATTGGTTAATTTTCAGGGTTGAATACGCGTATTAATACTTAAACGAATTTTTTTGAGTCAGTGTTTGGGGCAATGGGATTACGAAACCACAACATTTTTTTGTATGAATCAAGCAAACAAGACATGTGCAGGTAGCCAAATT